TTGTCGCATCATTTGTCTTGGGCATGCTATGGTTATTTTTTCTTCTTCATTTTCTCCATATTTTTTGGGGGTTGATAGGGTTTAAATAATAATAAAGATATTTGGTAGGTTTTTGCCGCCCCATGGTAGCTTGTTCTGGAACAACAGGGTTCTTGTTTAAAAGTTTTGAACAGGATGTCATACTTTGGGTAGTTGGAAGTTACTTAATTAGAGATAAACATCATGAAATATTAACGTATTCCAATCAGAATGTAGAATATGATCAGCCGATGTAATTCAATGAAATGTGAATCTTATATGCAGAATCAATCTGCTCCGGAAACATTTATAAACCGTCAGTCATAATGCATAACGTCAGTCGGGGAAGGTATGAGATCGTGGAACTGAGGCTGGGTTGGGACTTTTTATTTTGCTAATTTAGAAAAAAAAAACGTATATCCTTAGCGCCTTATAATTAGTACAGGTGTTTTGGACATATACCCACATCTGACTTATATATATATTACAATTTGGTATACTAGTATATCTTATAATATATTACAAAATGTAATACAATTTAGCATAAAGGTGCAAAGGGCACATGCATACTGGAAAAACTTGTGCCTACTTTATGGCTCAGGAAGATAATAGACCACTGTTACTGAGTTAGAACCTACCTTTGCATTTTGGTAGATCGTTAACTGAACTGAGATCGTAAATGTCCCAGCCACGAACACCGGCAGTTTCACATGTGGTGTTTTGTCGACCTCTTAAGGTGAGGCCGTCATTGCAGCCGAAAGATGCAACCGACCCTACAGCGAAGTTGTCTCCGGTCCTGTAGCCGTTTTTGGGAACTTCTGGGGCCATGCATACTCCGTCCGGTAAAAAGAATTCTAATGTCGAGAAAAAAAATGTATATTCATATTTTTTCTAATGTTTTCATACAGTGCAAGATACTAAAATTCATATACTTGAATGCGGCATTTAGAATTATGTCGCTTTTCTTCGTAAAGTCATGTTTGTCTACCTACAGACAACCTAAACCACAAGAAAGAGGCTCCTTATATATATTATGTATGTACTAAATTGTTAGGCCATGTACGTGATGTTTCAATTGAATTGAAATCAATATTAGCTAAATTAGTCAAAGGTATGTTTTATTCCAAATGTATCACAAATATTAAAGTTTCAACCTTCGAAGCGAATCTTGAACCCAGGATAACCAGCAGATTCGTCAGTAGTGAGGACAAGCGCCATCATGTTGGATGCCGAAATGATTTCTTGAGTGAACTCTTCACCTGTTTAAACATAATTTAACACTAAGATGTAAGCATGGAATGGGAAAAGTATCATTATCATTCAGGGGCGAAAATACTTCTTGAACTCCAATTTTAGGTTGATATCTTTTTAGAGAATGTAAAGCAATGGCAACACAAGCGCCTAAAGTAGAATCTCACGCTCACTGCATGCAGTTAGCCTGGATGTCAGGCTGTTTCAAAGGCCAATACACAGACCAGCCCCTACCTAGAGTTTTTACTAACTATTCAAATGTTTACGTTAATCTTTGCACGGAAATAGATAAGTCTCTTTTTTTTAATTCTGCTGTGTACACTACACGTACAAAACTATTAGAATATGCCCTTTTCTCTCTTGACGTACACTCTTGCATTCCATGAAGCTTTAGAATGAAAACTAGCAGGGATCCCAAATCTGCACTACTGAACATTTGCTGCGGTAAGAAGGAACGCCGCAATGAATGCCGGTGTCAAGAAAAGCCATGTTTACGTATTCCCAATCCTGTACGTAGATATGAATGCAGTATATGCAGCGAGTACATTTAGCTACACAATGTAAATCTATAAATGTAAAACTATACCAGCGTAACTCCCTAGCCATTTGCCGTTGAATTCAGGATCACCGTCGTAGACTGTTAAGTAGTCTCTCTGGGGTTCAAGGATGAAAATCTTAGGTTTAAGCCTTATATATCCTCTCGGGTTGACCACTATTGTCCACGTACAGATCAGGCCGTTGTCATAGGATCCAGGATGGTTAGGAGATAAAATCTCCCTTGAAGATTGCCCTGATCTGTAGCCACCACATTCATCTAGATATCGTAAAAAGAATAGGTTAGAAAGCTTTACTCTGCCGTGTCTGGCTCAATATATGGAAAGTACACACGCACAGACACTCACACGCGCACAGGCACACGCACAGACACACACGCACACACAGACACACACACAGACACACGTACACACACATATGCAGAAACAAACACGTAGACACACACACGCACATAGTACCAGGACACATATCTGCGTATTTGGTTTTGTTATCTTTTGCCCTGGACATCATTACTGTATTGGTTTATTTTGTGGCATTAAATGTAAGGAGTACCCCCCCCCCCTCCCAGGAGCTTGGAAGGCAACCATACAGACATTGCATGAAACAAAATACTTTAATGACGGAATTTAAAGAAACAAAACGCCTTACTGTGAACACTGGGGGTTTGACTTGTGTAGGTGACCGTAAACCCCTTTCTTGTTAATTCCCCGTCAGATGTAAATCTGAGGAACATCGTGTTAGATGTGCTGCTAACAGGTATAACAGAACTTAGACCTGTTATCCTGGAAGTCGAAGAACACAAATATATAAATTTATAGTTTTATTAAGAAAATCAGCTTCGCAGCATGAGGTACGTGTACAACAAGCTGAACTGCACTGATTTAAACACTGATGTATGTTGAAGATCATCAAGTTACGTGACAAATGGAAACTAAAGCAACGCTATACAAAATGCGTAACCACATGGGGGCAACGTAACAAGAACGTCCTCAAACAGTATTACTGGACTAGTTGTATACTTTTCAAAATCATACAGTTGCTTGAGTAACTGCTTTTTGGCGTATCGTATTACCTGGATGTCTAACCTTCATAGACGTAATCCTCCCATTGCATTCTTTCAATTAGTCTTTTCTGTTCTTTTTTTTACACCCTACAAATAACACGTTGCAGTATTCGAGCGAAAATGATGAAGACAAGCTGAGGCCAGAACAGGCAGGGTTCCAAAAGGGACGCTCTTGTACGGATCGCATTCTTGTACTAGGACAAATTTTAGAGAACTGACACAAGAATGGAATAGTCCTCTGTATGTATTGTTCGTAGATTTTGAAAAGGCGTTCGATAGCCTTCATCGGGACTCCTTGTATTAGATACTCAGGCATTACGGAATATCACAGTTTGTTGGTTTATCATTATCATTATCAGAACAATGTATGAAAACTTCGAATGTCGAGTAAAAACAGCTAAGAGAGACACTGGTCGGAAGTCTTCCACTTGTAATGCTCGAGCAGCCTTCGGTACTGGAACTACATTTACTGACTTTCAAATTGTAGTTTCTTTCCTTGTCCAATCTATGCTTGACATTGCATACTAATGCAAACTTTAGGTTGCCGCATTTCCAAATACCTAAGTTCTGTACATATTTAAATGTATAAAACTTGTTGACAACTAACAAGCCATCAAATTTTGTTGTGGACAGTGACATTTGCCTAGCCATTGCACGAGGTGCTATGTTTATTAGTAATTATTTTACATTAGGAAGAATAAATATTTTAAAGTTTTAGATATTCAAGTAAAAGCTGACAAACTTTTTTAAAACGTTACATTTGCCAATGTTAAGTGCATGAAACACGAAAAAATTATTAAACATTGTCACTAAAATGAAATTTTCTAGATATGTTTCAGGAAAAGTCACAATTTTATGGAAAACATATTACATGACTTCATTAGTTGTTCACATAGGCCACAAATTTGCTTCCATAACCTTGTAAAATTACCTTTGCAACTCGAGGGCGCTATCGCTGGCTCCATCGTATATGAACAAAAAGTCAGCATCTTCCTCGAGATATTGGCCTTTATCAAACGTGAGGAGAATCTTATTGCCTGCTGGGACGGTGATTAACCACTCGCAGTTCTCGTTGTTGCCATAGTGATCGGGGTAGTTCGGGGATGTTATAGGACCTCCAGAGGGTGCTGTAAAGTTGCCTCCACATCTAGTGGGGCTTGTCGGGGTCACTAAGTAAAAGAGAACCAAATTATTAAAATCATCACATAAAATATCTCTATGGAAATGAAAGATAATTGACAGTAATTGACACATATCTTCATCTCATGGATTCTCGTGCTATTTGCACATTCTCATGACAGATGAAAGTAACATTGGCCTGCACTTAATATCATCAAGAGGCAAGGGATCTTTTTTGCATGCTTAGTTAGCATACATTAAAAATACCGTTCTTGATTTTAAAGATTCAGTTGACTTATTCTTTGTCTTTTTCTCCGGTCAACACTTATTAGCTCTGAATCTCTATAAAATAAGAAAAAATGAACTATGAAATGCTGATAACACATTCGCTGAGAAAATCATATTTGATATATAGAAAACGATTATATGTAAAAATATACCATACCCACAGAATTGTTACCTGCCCAAAAGGAGCAGTAGATAGCTTTAAACAATGTCTACAGCTAGAAGTTCAAGGGTTAGGTGTAACAAGTCGATCGGTGTAATATAGCCAGCTGCCGCCGCGCCGCGTGCCTGCGAAGCTGGTGTGTTACGCCGAAAGGCGGTTATACCGGCTATACAGATACAGATACAGAATATGATATTCTTTAGTTATCATCTTACAGTTCAACAGAGATGTTACCTTACCATTTCCCTTGGCGCGTGCTAGCAGGGTAGCAAGAATCAATGTTGTTCCAATCCTTAATATAGCATGAACTGATGTCATGATTCTTGCCTCGTCAGGCCCTATGCATGGCTCTGCATCTAAATTAAAAACAAAAAAACAACAGGTTCTTGAATGCACAGCTTTCTATCTACAATAAGTGCATTGATAGAGGACAGGAGTTGGTGAAACAGTGGAAGACCTGCTGTTGATAGATGCGGGCCACCTGGTAAGTTAAAAGTGTGGTGTCTGCAGAATGTCAAGATGTCCAGTAAGGAGACCCATCCAGTAAGGAGACCCATCCAGTAAGGAGGCCCATCCAGTAAGGAGACCCATCCAGTAAGGAGGCCCACCCAGTAAGGAGAGAAATGCAGCAGCTTGTAGCGGAAGAGCTCAAAAGTCAAAAGCATGGAGGACGAGGAGAGGGAAGTAAGTGCAGTCAGGCTGAAACAGCCGGGATCATTTGTCAACTATGAAAGCACTGTGATCCTGTCTTCTTAGTATAGTGCCAACGTATGTCGAACAATTACAAACTATATTCCATGGCTTCTTGAGTTATTGTAATAAATCACATATGCAATTAGAAACACCAACCAAACGCTACTAAAATATAACGTCTAGAAAAAGGTAACAATTACATGAATTAAACAGCATGCCTTTCCCATGACAGTAGCATAGCAGATGGGAAACTGATTTGATAGACTGTTATACTCTTCTGAAATGTGAACAAGTGTAGGGCGTGACTTAATTGTAAGGAATGAAACTTTAGGTTTGATTGATTTGACCAAATAAACAAATTTCACAAATCGGCAGCGACAATTAAATACCTGCTCAAGCACA